CAAATTCGTTTGAATGCAAATCCATGAGATTCCTTCATTGACAGTCTGCATTTTGTCATGCTATAAATTGTTATACATTAAATGTTCAAAGTATTGCCCATCGGAAGCTACGATGTTTGCCCATCTTTCTGGCAGTTTGTGGATCCCATCCCAAAAGAATTTCTCCGGCTTGGAGGTCAAGAAAGAATCGAGCCAATTTCTGATACCCTGTTCTAAAGTGAAGCGTACTCAGGAGAGGGCATTCTGCACTGATCTGAACAAGTGGTATTCGGAAGGTGCTATGTCTGGGCTATAAGGCGGGTGAGGTAGAACAGTTTTCCAAATAGTTTTTAACTGGCCTGGAACATGTGGCCGAGCGTTGTCATGATGAAAAATTATTGATTCGTGTCTGGTCGCATATTCTGGTCGTTTTTCCGCGATGGCCTTTTTCAAACGAATCAATTGTTTTCGGTAGAAGTCCCCATTGATCGTCTGACCCGATTTCAATAGCTCATAATAGAGCACACCCTTGTGGTCCCACCAAATACATAGCATAACCTTGGCACCATGGATATTCGGCTTTGCCGTGGATGTCGATTGTTGGCCGGGCTTCACATACGATCTCTTGCGCTTTGGGTTATCATAATGAATCCATTTTTCATCGCCAGTGACAATCCGATGCAAAAATTACTTCTTTTGGTGGCGTTGAAGCAACATTTCCGACATGCAGAGTCGACGTTCGACGTCTCTTAATAAAGAAGAACTCCCCGCAAAAACACTTTATCTGGTACAAATTTCGACATTTTCAAATGAATGAAACAAATTGTTGTTCACGCTAAAACAAATGACATCTACTGAAAACGACGCGAAATGACAGTACCTTTAAAATGAATAGGCCACAGATGAACACGACGAGAAGTAATACTAGTAGAGCCCTCTTTTAGAAAACCGCACGAATTAATGCATACACCTAATATATGTATATTATAGTAACTATTGGTATCTTCCATACTAGGTGTGGTATATGTGTACAGTGTAATCAACGCTGAAAAGTGAAAGAGTACAGAACAGAGAAGTCAAACACATGTGTTGCCTATGTCGAAGGAAATTCTATATCTCTAGGAAATTCTATATCTTTAAAACAAAACACCCAATATGCCATTATTTATTGTAAGATGCTAAAACAACGATAAAGTGATACGTTTATTATAACTAATCATAAATATATCGCTATATAGATATTAAATATATCGTTATATAATTTTTGCATGCCAATATGCTTTCATTGTTACAATAAAAGCCACTGCGTTCTTAGATTTAATTTCATCGAAACTCACACTAGTAAACTGCGCTTAGTTCGTCTTGGGCTTAGTGCGCTGAGCCAACATTTTGGAAATATTCTTATAGGGTACTTCGAAAAATAATGAGAAAATTGTGGAGAAGAAGAACAGTAACGCGCAAATACTAATGTATTCCATTACCTTAAAATATAAAAAGAATAGTTAAAATAATAAAAAAGTATCTTATACATAAAAATCGTATACAAATAAAAGTTAAAACAAACCAAACTCACTAAATTATAAGAACTGCTATAGCGACTTTTATTATTCGAGCTTATCAGCGGGATCATGAGTACTGGATGTAGGAGGAACATAGCATATGTTATTTGATTGAATTTCTTGAATAGTGTATTCTCCAATATGCCAAAGAACCACTTTACACTACCCGCTGCATTTGCGAATATCAGAAAACATATACTTGACGCATATAACACACGTTGAACGATCAACAATACCACATAGAAACCCACTGAGTAACCTTCTGAGATTTTGGCGACATTGTTAGTAAAAAAGCAAATGATCGCCGAATAGCCGAGAAACTCTTGCAAAGACTGATTTTGAAAGAAATTCGCGTAGAGTTGCTTCTGTTGGTTTTGTACGAAAAACCAGCCAGCCACCCCGCCAATTAAGTAGGCCAGAACACGTGACAGCGGATTCATATAGAGCTCCGTGAATAACACCGATGTGGTCTCAAAGGAATACTTATAATTCATTGTGATGCCGGTATAGATAGTATAGACCAAATTGGCCACTACAGTGCCGAGAGTGAGAGCTTTGGCCGTTTTGGGATGTCTGTAAGAGAGATTTTAAATCAATTATATTATATATTTCATTCATATATATTGATATGTTGCGTATGTGCACTTACTTCACATAGATAAAAAGTAGAATTGTACTAAATATAAAAAATTGCATATCACAAGCTGATGACCATGTCCAAAACAAACACAAATCGTCGTGGTTGAAGAAATTTTGTATGAAGAGTGCACTGCGCCACCAATATAACTCGCAATTAGCGTATATACGATGGCTAAAGTGGAAAACCGATGTATCGTCCATCAGAAGCGATCCAGCATCGGCAAAGCAGATGACAAGGAAGTACAAAGGACCCAATCTGTTTGAAATAGAGGCGAAAAACGAAACATAAACAAATGCAAACGTTTCTATCTAATTTTATATATTGAAGCTTTTGCGCATTACAAGCTTTCAGTACTTGCCTAATCAAACGATACATAGTGTACATAAGTAACGCTTTCGCATTCTTTATTATATTACTTTTCCGCATAGTTTTAATAGTTTTGGTGTTTCGAAAAAAGTGGTATGTTTGCAGGAAGCCACTGTAAAAAAACCGATAAAATCATCGTCGAAGGCTTGTAAAAAGCGCACGTAATTTAAATCCTTCACACTTCACACGCATGATATCACTAAATATCATTCGACAAAATAGATCATCCTTCACGTAGGTGCATTAGTTGCCGATCTCGGCTATTGTCAAGCGCTTGGCAAACATAGACCAATACTTATGCGCGGTTCATGAAGATATACTGGAATCCATTTGCCATGTGGAATTCCACAAATTGACGACACGGTAGTCCGTAGGAATGGGCGCGTATCTGTCAATATTTTCGGATTCATTTTATGTGGTATATGTGTGGATAGTTTGAGATTGACGGGTGTTTTAACAGCATCGCAGGTGTCACGACATCCCAACCAGAGGCCATTGCCCATTATGAATCCAGGCTCTTTAAAACCGGACGAATCATACACTATGAGAAATATAGAAGAATTGAAAAGAGTTAGCTCGTTAATATACATTATACGTGTACAACATGAGCGGTAATGTTTCGGTTCTACGATTTCTTTTAAGGGTTTGTCGATCAATTGTAAGTGTAATTATTGAATGGTGGTAGCTTGAACTATTTGAAAAATACTAAAAAGGAGTTGGATTAGGTTATATGGATGATCTTAAGATGGGATCGCATTTGGACTGATTATCATCTACCAGGCTCAGCTATCCACGCAGTCAGCTTTGCAGTTGCCTGCGCTCCCGCTGGTACCCAAATCAGGCGTACACAAAAATAACCCGATGACGTTAATTTAGGTTAGGTATTCTTTAACCAGCCCCCAGGGTACTGTCATTGAGTTCAAAGCTTGTATTGCCGCTCTAATATTGGTGTGCTGTCACTTCCCTTAAGAAGGCTCGCTTCGGTAAAGAAGATCAATTACTACTTTGATGGCAAGGAAAACACCGCCGAAGTTTGATTGGGCGACTCTTTGATTACTCAAACGGGCCGGTATAAAATGAACATGTGCGGGAATGCCCAAATGTACAGGCACATGCTCATTTAGAAAGCAAGTTTGTCTAAGTCTAATTGCAACATTCAGGACCATACACCTCCCGGTTATGTCCACACTTGCAAAGTGCGTAGCCATTGAAACGTTCTCAAGTTACTAGCACGCGTAGCCTTTCTAACGCCAGTTTCAACACATAAGACTGTCAGAAAGGTATTCGTAAAGGGATTCTTTACTTGGGTTGTATCCAATTGTGAAAGATTTTTATTATAAAATCTGTGTTTATTTCAAATTTTTAACTATAAATGAATGGGAGCATTTTTAATGCAATAATTTCAAGCAAGCTTTACTTAATTCTCCTTCCATATGTGTCTATTATACAAAAATTAGAATATGGTAAAGATATTATAAAGATATACGTTATTTTAATAAGATTGTAACTGATATAAGGCTAATATTTATTCTTGTTAAGAACTTCACCAGAAGTTAAAGATTTAAACTTGAATATGTTGCTTAATGGAGGGATAAAACAGTAAAAAATTAAAGTTGCATAGTATAACATAACATTAAAACAATTATGAGTCAAATATTTCTCTCTTATCTTTCGTTCCCGTTCTTGACCATCCTACCTTTGCCCTTTGGAGCAGACGTATTTCATAACCCCTAATTATTGATTTTATATTCAAGTATAGAAAGATAAAGCCTAGACACATTTTTAGCGAGATAATTAATAAGTTCTTAGACCGTTTCACATTGGGACGCAAAGGTCTCAACCAGGTTTATTGTGGCGAGGGCGGACGAGAAAGCAAGGACCGTGGCCATCGGTTGTTCGCGTGCCACGGCTTCTGTGTTTCTTGTCGTAACAGTCGCTGATACCGCAACTCAGCTTCCTTTTCACTTTCAAATTCTTTGAATATTTCAGAGCGCTCGGTTTCAAATGAATTCATCGCAAAATTGAAAGTTCTGTTATCTATTTGTTATGTATATGCAAATATGTATGCATGAGGATAAAAGAAATATTATACAAATTGTAAAATACAGGAGAAAATTAAGATATAGAATATGGAGAAAGAAAATTATCGAATTTTTAATACGAGTAAAGAATTTATGAGTTTTTAATTACTTAAAAAGATTAGGAAATTCCTATTATTAAGTCTTGGCTGAAAAATATTTAGTAGCGGATATTCAATACATTCTTGTGGATTGGGAATTCCGTCTTTAGTATTTTTTGAACTATTTAAGCGGGTAGGTACTTGTATTAGGCATGATTGTTCTACCATATTCATGGTAATTCATGCAAGCAAATGTGGTGCCATCATCTCAACATACAAATGAAATACGCAGACGCAGTGTTGCGCGGTGTGGCAGTCGAACCGCAGCAAATATTTACGAACATTTTTGAAAAGGAATGCAGAAAAACTAACTCGGTGCTGGAACTCTTTTTGACCGTGTGAATGCCAGAGCGACACCAAAAAGAAAATTGAAAACATCAGACTCTTTGCATCCCTGTTCTGAAACGCACTTACAACACCTCCTAAGTATTCTGACTTTTTCCTACCAATCCATATACATGGTTCATTGGAATCGGCAGCAGTCGAAAATTTAAAAATATATGCATATTTTTCTTCTTCTTTTTACGAGCATCTTTACTCTCATAGCCCGGCTGTTGTTTTCGCCATAGCATTTTGTACTTCCTGCAGTTGTGTATAGCAGTTGTAGCTCACCATGTCCGACGACTGATGACTGTCAGCCGAAATATTGAAAGAAAACGCTGCATAATTGATATGGTCGCCTGTTAGCACCCACTTTTTTTGATGTGCAAACTGCGCAATACAAGTTAGTGTAAAAACGCACTTATAAAACTTCAACTTTAACATTTACACTTTAATTTTTGTTAATTTTAGTTTTTATTAAGTTCAAACAGTATTCGTAATTTCGTGTTTGAATATCTTATTGACTTTGAAAAGTCCATTCAACTTTGACAATTAAATTTTCTTTCTTTTCTATTATAACATTTCATTTCAGAGAATTAGATTATAGAGGAAGCAGAAGAATGTAGATAACAGAGATGTAAGATTAAGGAGAATGTAGAATTACAGAGAGGGAAGAATTACAGAGAATGTAGGATTACAGCAGAATTTAGATTAAGTTAGAAAACACTCTCATCGTATGAGTTGTATTTTGACAATTACACGCTTGGTCCGTAATTGAACGCTTCATCTATATTTACATTCTCGAATTACTGTATCCACCTCAAATTTCCACACGCTTGTCAAAATCACTTGAATTAAGAGCCGATTCAATTTTGAATTGAAAAAATATCTTTTTTATATTTATTTCAGTTTTTGTACTTTTTAATTTTATAAAATTGTTGCTTTCAAATAACGCATAAGTACCATCAATTTTCCATAGTCTCCAATATATTTATTTCTTGTTGGCGTACAATTTCACTTTATATCACGTTTGTAACTGTCTTATTTACACGCCTTGTTGGGTCACCTAGTGAGACCTATGCAATTATACGTTCAATATGTTCTAATATATTTTTGCATATTTCTTGTTCTAAACTTTTTGCTCGAAGTTAATATTGTATTTGCATTGTGTACATACTTACATATTTATAGCGGCTGAGCTTGCTTTGCTACATTATGCACGACCATGTATTCATCACGCAATTATATGAATATTTGTTTGTGATACAATTAGCTAGTCCATTAGCAGTACTAAGCTTAATTTGTAAGCAGCCTCTGCAATGCTGCTTCCCTTTTTTATATTTCTCTTTTGTTTTAATAACTACGATTATATACGAAGAAGCAATTAGAGTACAGTATGTACTTTGGATTATTCTCTATTTATGAACTGTTTTTATGTAACTACATCCTTACTGTATATAGTGCACTAATAGAAAAACGAAACTATGTACTTAGCGGGAAATTATGTATTGAACGGTATGCAATATGCTTAGAATATTATTAAATAGAAGAATTGGGCAATAAAGTTAGTCTAAAACTGATCCACAACATGCAGTCATTACTCCGGCTCTTTGTATTTATGCGCGGCTACAAAAAAACGCTTTGTAGCCCTACAACTAGCATCCTTAAACATCCTCTAAAAATTCCAATTTCTATCTCCGCTTCCCGTTAAAGAGTTCGAAATCCAAAGCGCCTTAACACCGCATGCGAACTGTCAATGAAATTCTAATGTGCGTATATTTATTAAATTAAGTGCATAAAATAAAACTTAGCACATATGGAATTAATTATGCTGGACATAGTTAACTCAAATATTTGCCAATGTTAGTTTTTTTCACTTGATATAGAAAAATCTTTATCTATCGTCTCAAAATTTTCTTCGTCTATATGCCGCATTCACATTACAGTTAATTTAAGCTTTTCGCATGTTTTATTTCTTTTTGCTTCTTTTTTATGTGCAGTGTTGGTGATACGGCTTGCGTTATGATGGAAATGGTTCTTTGTACAATTTTTTACTACGGAGCGCAGCGGAGGTCGCCTAGTATATATATATAATTATTATATATTTATTATTTCGACCATAACTACGAATGATGCGTATGTTTTGCTCCAAGGCCTGAATCGAAGCGAGATTGTTCGCATAGACTTTAGACTTTACATATTCCCACAGGAAAATGTTTAACGGTGTTGATAGTCACACGATCTTGTGGCAATCTTCCGCTTAAAACTTGACATTATCTGCTTACGAAGTTTCTCAATAAATCTATGGATGGATGAGATATGTAGGAAGTGGCGCCGCTTGTTGAAACCAAATGTCACCGAAACAATGAATTTCAATTTCAGGCATCAAATAGTCGGCTATATGGCGCTATAATCGTCGCCATTGACGGTTACCTCTCACTGGCATTTTTGTTTTGGAAGAAATATGAACCGCTGATTCCACCGCCCCACAAACCACACGAAACCATCGTTTTTCTTAATGAAATGCTATTTGTTTGTTTACCACCCATTAAGACAGAAATGAGCCTCATCGCTTGAACAAAATTTGGCTCGAAAACGTCGGATCTTCTTAGAACATTGCAAGAGCCCATATAGCAAAGCGATGTTGCTGGGAAGGTCGAGCGGCTTCAGTTTTGCATAGCCTGTACTTTTGTACGCTGCATTTAAGATTTCGAGGTAAAATGCGCCGGAATCGACTCTCCACGCGTCTTCGTCTACGTGCTGGACGTGGTCCATTCGGTCGATTATTATCCCTAATGAATGCGGGTACACCAGTAGGCCGATTATCTTAACCATATGTTGAGAAGCGCGCAAAACACTGCTTTAGAGAAACTGAAATTCGTGCAGAATTATAACGATTTGTAAACATTATTTAGCTAGGTCCTTTCATGATGAAATGCCCAACAATATCATGATATTTTTTACAGA